GCAGCCACCTGCGCCGGATTGACAACACCTTGCCAGCCAAGTACACACGTGGCCTCTACGGTTCCCTCCCGAGGAACCGGGCTTATCTACTCACCCAATTGCGAACTGGCCACTGCTGGCTATCAACATATGCAAAGACGTTTCGCTTCCGCGACAATGACCTATGTGTCTGTGGCGAACGCGAGAGTGTAAGCCATGTTCTGCTAGACTGTCCAGAGCTGAGAGCACTTCGGCGAGAGCTCCGAGAAAAGGTCGGCGAGGCGTTCAACAGCATTTCAACCCTACTAGGAGGGTCTGGAGGAGAGGAGAGAGGTAAGGTTAGCCATGCTTCGAAGGCGAAGACGGTGGAAGCCGTCTTGGACTTCGCTGAAGCATCACAACGGTTTCAAAGCCGAGTACCATGAAGACAACATGAGAACGAAGGGCTAGGGAGCCACGAAAGGCTTCGGCGAGGCATTAAGGTCGCTTAGGAAATTAGACACGGCAATTACGAAGAGACACATGTATATAGTTGTTGAATCCTGCATATCGTTCGCGAGGGGTCGGGGTAAATGAAATCATCCATCCATCCATCCATAGTGTAGTATATACTCCGCTCGCTCTTCTGTATGACATTCTCTCGGCTCGAGCTTCGTCGCGTGCTCTTTGGCGGTATCCTGTTTCTGAGGTAGTGTCGCCGTATGCTGAATTAAAACCTGCAATATATATATCCCCAGACCAGTGCTATTATATGTATACATTACCGGCAGCAAAAGCGGCAAAGAACCAGTAGGGCACTAGCGATAGAAAGCCTAATTCTTCTAAACATATTTCAGTTATCATTTTGTGTCGGCCTGATCGAATGAAAGACACTTCTGGAGCTCGAAACGCTGATCTTGCCGGATGTGTGCCCGGAAGAACGGCGGGTATGATTATTTGGAAATCACGGCTATAATCGCGCAAAATTCGCGCGCCAGCACCTCTCCTTGCGTGGCCTAATGGAACTTGCTGCATATACTTTCTAATAACGGCTCGGGTTCGATTCCTGCAGGATACGTTCAGATGACCTTTTCATCAGAAAGACGGGTCAAAACCCGCTTGATTTTTCCGGGTGATTTCGTGTTTTCTACGGTTGATTTTACCTCTTGGCCACTTCGTGATTATGATGAACCCATTTTCTATAGCCACTTGAGCATGCCGACCCATGGCAGCATCCGGAGGTATTCAGACGTCTGCCACAGGCGACGAGGCCGTGCACTGACGCGTCGCAGCGTCTCGCGTCGGGCACACGTGACATTCCCACTGACAGAAATATGACTGCTACTTTCGAAGTCAACAATTACGTCTTATCCACGAGTTATCACAAACTGACCTGGCATCTTTCGAGTCATAATTGAGCAATTGTAACCGTTGCGGTAATCGAGTGGCCCTACTTTACGAGGCTGCTTCTGCTGATGAGTTCATGGCGTTCGGTGATGACATCGAGGAAGGAGCATTCGATCTAGCACCGATTATCAGCAGCTGGCGCAAGGTGGTCGTTCGCCACTCACCGTGCTCATGCCCCAGATGAGATCCCTTGTTACCAGTCGCGAACAGCACCCCGACCGGACTCGTGGGAAAGGCCGAACCAGGGTTGTGTTTCACTGCCATCCGAGGTCAGCATGGTGTCTGGTGGCTGAGGAGTGGTAGAAACTTGCCGTAGATATAGTCGGGCATCAGCATAGGCAAGCTAGAGACGAGGTAACAGGCGTCAGCTCGATCCCACGTGCACGAGGGCCTGGGATCACTTTGCACCACGGGGAATGGATGTAGCCATACCTGCCAATGCACGGCTCTGGGCAAATCTTCAACCGTGTCAGGGCAAAGCACCACTAGACAAGAGATTCATGGTATTTTTTTTACGACAAACTTCGACCTGACCTGAAAATGACTGCTCTCGCGGCGAGGGATCTAGGGTAGATCTAAGCCACGGCCTGTCTTATCACTTGCTCAGCTGATTCAGTGGTTGAAATATCTGGCCTTTAGACTATTGCCAATAGCTCGTTTCAATTTGCTGATTGATGCTCCTCGGGGAAATAGTTGTCTTTTTCTGTGGCCGTCGATTCTCGGCTTCTCTTCGTTGTCGCGGATGCTCTGATGGCTCGCTCGGTCAACAGTGAGGCCGGCTCATGGCCACCGACAAGCCATCGGATCGGATGTGGGGCAGGGGGTTCATAGCCGTCAGAATATTGCGAGTTACTAATCCATTGACTGTCAACCTTTGCCTGGATAGGGTAATGCCGGAGAAACGAATGAAGACACTTTGGAATTTTACCATATGGCTAATCAGAGGGCATCAGGCCTTCCTGAATTGGGCTTGCTTACTGCGCCAGGCGAAGTGGCCGTGTCAACCACGTCTTCAGAAACAACAAAGACAAGCGTAGTGAGATTCAGTGGCTTGGCCCATCAGGTTGTTGCAGCTGGTTTAGTTTCGAGGACGAGGGGGGAACATAGCTCGGTCAGGTTGAGTGTAAAATTGAAGCTCGCCCTATGACGAAAAAGAATCATAAGCGATATATTCTAAGGAACGGAGAGCTACGAACGGAAAGCGTTCGTTTTGAGATTGAAAATGCAGTACCGGGCGTTGGGAATGGGCAGGGGCAAAGCACTAGCGTGACTTACAAGACATTGAGCGACTCGCGATAGAAAGTTCGCCATCCTATATAGAGGGTCGTCAGCACATGATGTCTGCCTTGAAAATTGCTGCAGTCTTTGAACTTACATTGTCGGTTCTTGCTGTCCACTGCAGGGGACTGTATACAGGATGGCACCTCATTATCTTCAATCATTAGCAGGTAGCTTATGAAGGCAACTTGTAACTCACTGTGCTCGCAGCTTGGACCGTTCCAGATCCAGATCCTGAAGGTTCGTTCAATGGCTTCTCAGAGGAATAGCGGAGGCGCGGCTGATATTGAGAATTTTCCATGTTAGCATGATTCCAAATGACTGGGCAGCTACACTCACTTGCTGTTCGAAGGCCTCTTGTGTCGAGAAAAGCCAGGCTAGTGTGATGCAACAAGTCAGTCAATTTCGTTGCACGATTTCGAAGTCAACATGCCAAATAGTAGCCACGGAAACGAGAATTGATCGATATTATTTTACCCGGAGTGACAAAGGAATGCTTGCGAACGACTGTTCTGCTGGCGAGGGACTGGGTATTTATAGCAATTCAGCCAGGCATTCGGTCTGCGTCAATGATATCCCCATTGTGAATTGTGAGGGCTCAAACAAAAACTACTCTTCAATGATAACTGGCTCAACGTTTCATCATTGATGCAAAGCAGCTCTCAGAGACATTGCATTTTGTTCCTGGTGATCAAGAGCATGAAAAATATTTTCTGGCTGTGGGTATTGTTTCAACAGTCATGGAGATGCCGCAGAAAAGAACCGACGACGGTCATTACCGTTCACCACCGTGAGCCCGCCCTTTAATGCGACGGGTGAGGCGACGAGGTCATGTCATTTCATTTCACTCACCAGTGATGAGCCCGTTACTCCACGCAACGAACACCTCATCAAAGAAAGGGCAAACACCATGCCATATTGCGACCCTAGATTCCTACCAGCCAAACCGCAGGATTCTTCATTGCCTAACTCGTATATCGGAGAAAATCCCCTACGCCTACACAATATCAAGTAGATACAAGCTATTGTGCAGCGTGGGACTGATTCGCACAGCCCACATCTCGCGAAAGAGCTCCTTGTACAGTTAGCGGGTCACTAGATTGATTATGTTTTCGCAGAACAATTGTTTCTGCTATCGACCTCGTCTTTGCGTATAGCAATACTTACATTGGTCTCCTGGGTGCTAAGTGGACACGGGAAGACGTTTACTACTACAAGGAAACATCAGCCAGTTAGTGTCACCAAAGACTCACTTGCGCGTAAGTCTCCAGTGAAATGATTGGTTGATAATTGGCCTGGCTCCCAGGAGCCTGTGGGTTGTAAATATTGATACGGAGGAATAATGAACCAATCGGTGCCATGGTTGGTCCACAAGTGCCACAAAGCCTCATTAGAAATGATTGGTCCAAATGTGGCTATGAGCTCCTGGGAGCCTGAGCCTACCATTGCATTTACCATAATCAAATAGCCTATCAGCAATACCCTGTGAGGGTCTCAGGTATCTGTTGATGAGGAGATTGTCTTTCCAATGAATGATCAATATTAATGAAAGCTAAAGTCGACTCTAGATACAAGACGCAGCGCGAGGAAGCAAAAGAAAGACAGCTTCCTCGCGTTCAGGGGAACCCAGATGCACCATGTGGGTCCGTTCCTCCACTTAGCGTCTATGCCTCATGTATATCCCAGACACCTTTTTGCACTATAATGTTGATAAGGGGCTGTCTAAGTTTGGAGTGCATATTGCTAGCCCGCAGTATAATTTCCCGTGGAACGAGAAGTGGAACAGTTTGGTCCTTGTGCCTGTTAAACGGAAAGAATGGAATGAGTATATTCTCATCAACTTCAGTGATACTGTAATGATTCACTTACATAGGATGGTAATTGGTAGTGTGATCCGGTTCAAGTTTTCAAGAAGCTGGTTACTAACTTTGTTCCGCTAGATCGATGAGATCGATGATTCTGGTTCCAATTTGGATAATCGAGTCCCCGTTGTACATGTCAAGACTTAGACAGGGCCCGACTTGGTTGCTACTTAGATGTGAAAGCAGCTGGACTTTTTATTCCATACCCACCTAGTACATAGACGACCTAGATTTGAATCATCACTTCAGTTGCTCCATAAAATAATTAAGAAGAATGAACGAGGCGTGGGCCTGAATCATAAAATGACCTAGACGCAACGCCCGATGTCTTGGAAATAAACATGGTAAAGAACGTAAACTCTTTGTGACGCATCAAGTGTGTATTAAGAGTAACGAAAAATGAAAGATGCCGAAGATGTGAAAATCAAAGATAAAGGAACTGCTAATTCGAATAGAACCTTTCCAGCCGGCTGTACCATACACTCGGGAGATACTTCATGTCTTCACCAATCTGATGGCATGAAGGATATCTTCCAGGGACCATCCCGGCCCACCTGGAACGATCTCGGCCCAGACTTCCTCCGGAACCACGTCGCCAGGGCCCAGAAGGCTCCAGTTCCGGCTGGGCTCAGGCTTAGCCCACTTGAAATCCTCGATCTCATTCCAGTGGTCTTGATGATCAAGGTGGTCATGGTTCAGGGCCTAGATAGGAGCATTAGAATGGATGTTCAGGAAGAGAGTAGAATGCGAAGCTTACGTATGCCTTTGGTATTCGGCCAAATCTGACATTCGAGCAGTCTTCGATGATGGGATTGCTCGAGCAGCTGATGTAGACGTCGACGTCGGTACAGTGGTGCATGTGGAACTGGCGGCATGAAACCACAATTATACTGTGTTCTACCCCGGTCATATACGCTGGTCCAACTTGGCCGCAAATCAGCAAGCTTTCTCGGACGCCCTTGACGGTCAGACTAGCATAAGGCTTCCCGTCTGCGGTGGGAATCGTCATGTCAATGATACAATGCCGTAGAGAGGTAATGGATACAGGAACTGTAGACGTTGAACCCGAAGCCGGGAGCATGATGTGGAGGTTGTGATGATTGTCAACAGACACAGAGGATACTCCACTAGCTGCGAATGCCGGGACAGGCTCCGTCTCTAGTTGAGATTTAGCCAGCACCTCCGTGGGCGAGATTACCGGGAATGAAGTTGGCTCAACTTCTGGCCACTCCTGCCGCTGTTTGTCTGGTTCATTGAAGGGGGTAGATGGGTCACTCGGAGTTTGGTTGCCAGAAGACCCGATGGACGATGTACCTGGGAAGCGGTAGCCCGGGGTACTGCGACGACCTTCAGTGGCCAAAGCAGCGGCGTCAGAGAGAGAGATGGAGGAGTCATTCTGCTTGGTCTTGAAGCTGAACTGCGACCGAGGTTCGGATACGGCACATGTCTCATTCAGTTTGTTCTTCAGGGCTTTGATTGCCTTTACTAGGTAAGCACAACTTTCCATGCAGTGAGATTCTTGACTCTGCGCACCTCTGCATAGACTCTCTGGTCATATGTAGGAATGTAGCTCGCTGCATCACTGACTTCATTGGACAGCCGCACGATTCCGGCTCGACATTGATCTGTGACATCAGCGCGCTCACCACCGACTAGCGTTGTATCAGCGACACCATCGATCTTCTCCTGCAAAGCTAAAAGAAGAGTATCAGTATTATCCCTTTTTACTTATGGGACGTGCTCTTGGATATGCTTCTGGATTAATGGGGATCGGACTATACCAGTGATTTCACGTTGAAAGTAACGGAAGAAACGTTCTTTCAAAGGAATCTCAGCCTTCGAGACGATTTGGTTGTCAGCCGACAATCGGTGAGCATGTTGCATTTCCGGTTCAGCCATCATGAGAGATACGAGTAGGTAGATGTTCTAAAGGTGGAGATGGGAAGCTGTAGCTTTGGGGAAATCGGAACTTGGAAAGCTGGCAGCGGGGGATGGAATAGGAATGACGTCGGTCGGTTCTCAAATAGGCCATGCCACCCACAGTGCAGGGAATCCCGAGGGAATAAATACCCGGGATGGAGAGTCAAGACAGGATGAGAGAATCGGGCAGATACGTAGTAATGGGATATAAGTGAAGCTACAGCAGATGTGCTCCAGCCAAGAGCTATCAATATACGCAACCCCACACACGCGCCGTTGTGTCTCTTGTGATATGAGGCTGATGCAGATCCGGAACGGAGCCGCACCACCAAACATAATCCCGATGTGTCTATACTAAGATCCCAGTTGATTGGAAATCAGCTTGATCCTCTCATCGTATATATAGCCTCGTTTAGTGCCTCTGAAATGACAACAAGGTTCGTAAAACCGGGCTAAACATGCAGGCATATGCAGAAATTTTAACTTGACGAGGTGTGAAATAAAGTATATTAAAGATGGTACTCAGTAGATTTCAAAAAGGGACTGCCGAGGCTCGAGAGGGAGCTAGTTGCAGTTCGGATGTCACGTCGTAGTTGGCATTCTGTGCCCTTGAACAGATTTGGTTGCCCGTGTCACCAACTGACTCTCTCCTAGTTCTCCTCCAACTTTTCGAACGCTTTTCCTTTACTCTCACGCTCGGTGGAAATTATTCGACCATAGAGAAGAACACCTCCATTATATTATTCTCCCATCGCCCTGAATCCCCGCTCGCATACGAGGCTGTTCCAACCCGTTCATAGTCCCATCCGATCTCTCCTCGGTCGCTTCAATCGCTTCGCGATTTTCTGCTACCTTCACTGGCAGGACTTTTTCGGCTGCTTCGTGTCTAAATTGATACTGCTTTACTTGTTCAACTTCAACGCAACAGTCTCAATCAGAAGCTGAATCAGAAAAGTGCAAGTGACTTCAACGTGTGAGATAACCAGGCTTGACGTACGATATTATCCAACTCGCCCTTATCTTCCTTGTTCATGAGGCTCTTATGCTTGATATTCGCGCCCTGGTAGAGCGGACTTCGTCTTCGGGGCTCAAGCTCTTATTCCTGTACAAGTGCTCGTTGACATCCTTACCAGCATTGCTGGTGTGAGGGACCGTGGAGTAAGGGTGGGAAATGCTCTCGCAATCGGGCCGGACTCTTCCAGTTCGAATAGCACCTTCGTTGCTTACTTGATGCGCCGCAGAAAGAGCCAAATCACCGGAATCAAAGTAACTGCGACTCTTCTGGTTATCAGTTAGAACTCCTTCCATTGTGTTGTATTGAAAATACCTTGGATTGCCCCCCAAGTAGATCGCCATGAGGCCGCTTTTCATATGTGCGGAGCTTGTGTTTCTTTCCACATTCAGAGTGGCTGGGAAAATGTGGATAGTACTTCTGCTGAATATCAGACACAGAAAAGTCTTACCACGGAACACGATTTCTTGTCTCATGGCTCCATTCTGAGATTTTGTTAAAATGAGAACAAGCACACGATATAATCCGCATCTCCAGATAGACAAAACGTGTCAATGACGCAATATGTCAAAATTAGGTTACCGCCTGTCCCGATCGGGATCAGTCATTTAATTTCTTGCCTGATGGACGAGGCATAACCGCTCATGGATGGCCCACTGTTTTTGCCTAAACTAATTGCGAGTTTAGACAGTTCATCAGAGATGCCGTCCACTTCAATGGTGCAGAACTCCATACTAGCGCATATCATATAATTTCAAGTGGGCAAATGCAATAAAAGTGATTGCATTATATTCTTGTTGAGTTGTGTATTAAAAGTGGGAACCCCATTTATTTAAATGTCCATCGCTAGTCACGCCATAAGCTTTGACCGCCGCGATACTTAACATAGTATTGCCTCCAAACCTAGCGAATCGTCAGCCTGGGATGACCAACCACAAAGCCCCATTGATAAGATCCTACCAACCAGCACTCGGAGAGCATTGGGTTTATTATGTCAGTATTCAATCAAAGTGCAGGGCTGCTTTCAGCGCGATCTATCATAAATGGTCAGTAGAGATTGCTTGGAGATTTTGCTTCACTCACTATTCTCACAACGCGAGTTAGACTGCCAAATCCAGGGTAGGTGGAGAAGTGACTTTATTCGTGGGAACACCAGATGCAGGGATAGTTACCAAGGAATATTCCCGTCGGCATGGTATCGAGTGCTAGGGTTGAAGTACATATCTGCCAGGAACGTACTTCTATATCGAGAATAGACAAGCTAGAGGCGGTGTTGTGAGTGTCGGTACAGTACAAGCTCGTCTTACACGAGCCACTGTCAATGACGTATTGGCATGTGCGGGATAGGGTTAGGGGGCGATCATTCGATCATTCGGCCTATCTCTTGATAGCCCAAGACTGTCACACTTAAGCCCCATGAACTCGGTACGAATGACGAATCATAGATTACTGAGTAGAAGGAAAGCTAGAAGCTGAAGTAAACATGGACAGAATGATACACAATAGTGGTATTTGCACAGGCTGTCAAGCTTAGTGCGGATCGAATCCGACAGGCTCAAAGATTTATCTGCAATGGCAGAATATACCCCTCTCACGAACCTTAGCTATAATTAAGGAGGAAAAAAATGACCCAAGGCAAAGGAAAAGAATCAAGAAAACTCGTCAATGCTCATCAAAAGGGGTCAGACCCTCACCACCCACCTATCCACCACCCCCTTTACCAGGGACTGCGTACCCCCACCATCCAATCTTCCATTGCTAGCCACTCACTCCACCGGGCCTCCGCGGCGCGGATTTCATCCTCAGAGGGATCACGCAGAGGGCGCAAGAATGGGGTCTGTTCGTCGGGCAGGATATCGTAAGAAGCCTTAGTCTTCGCCCAACCACCACTCTTTGCCGCGAAAAGGTAATTAATGCGCTCTTGTTTGTAAATACAGCCAACTCCCGCTTCCCAGTCTGGACCAAAGAACGTACGCATATGGATAGGCGTGTCCTGAGCGGTGAAAATTAATCGCCGCACGTAAGGACGGAGAGAGATAAAGGAGGCGGCAGCTTGTGGACTGTTCGGGTGGACGGAATGTTGAGCTGGTAGACGGATGTTGATAAAGGCTGCAATGGACCGAAGATTCGAATTGAACTGGCTGGATTTGACAAAATGTTGCAAACAGGTCTTATAGTGTGTGTACCAGCCGGTGGGGTCGATGCGACCAAACTCGCCGTCTTGCAGGATGGATCGAGCTTCGGGATAAAGTATGCCCTGTTCGGGGAGAGCTCGCGCTTAGGTGCGGAACGCTCACCTTCTCGCTCGGGATATCCTGGAGGGTGAGTCTCAGAATGGGTGCAATGAGGAAGCGGTAGTTGAAGTGTGGTGTAGGGAAGAGGGAGGAATAGACGTACTTGGAGCGGGTTGCTCGTTTGGAAAAGGATCGTGCAGGTCGGTATCCGTACATACTGTGTTTTTCCAGTACTCTCTTCCGGAACTCTGCATGCTCAGTGACATGTTCAGTCATGGATACAGTAGTTTATACTTAGTGGATTGGAGATGAAGGTAGTATTGAGTATGAGAGTACTTACGATATGATATGAATGAACCATGGGTGGGAGGGTACCCTTATATCTTTTAGCTCAAGCGATCCCCCCCGCCGGGACGTCCAAGACCCAAGGGGTGTGATACCGAAAGCGATCAGATCTGAAGATCAAGGGCGGACTAGTTCGGCCCTTACGGGAGGAGTGGATCAAGGCACGGACCTATCGAGTAAGGTTAAAGCCACACACTAGCCACGTAGAGACCGAGCCTGTGGCTATACAATCACAGTGTCAGAGGTGGTGTATGTAACCACTAGTTAACTAATTATGTTTTAGTGGACCCTAGGATAGCCTGGCAAAGAGTAAAGTGGGGGATAGACCCTGAGAATTGGGCTAGCGTCAAGAATAGTGCAGCCACTATCGATCGAAGCATCCAATCATTCCTCCCTCGTCAAGACACTGGACCAGGAGTACAGTACAGGAGGGAAAGTTTATTGCGCGATGAAGGGGACAGTCATAGCGAGTGTATGGCAGTTTCGTGTAAAATACAAGCTTCGAGGCTCGATAATCGTATCGTAAAATACGCAGACTATTTATAAAAAGCGGTCAGGAATGAGGCCAAAAGACGTGATCCAATTAGAGCTCATATATGTCGGATTTATTTTCCAGGAATGAAGTCGCAAGAGTGTGAAGGTATAACTGATTTTGAAAACTACTGTATTTCGCGGGGACTGTACCCAGTAAAGGTGGAGGAAGCTGATTTCGAGCGGCCCTGTACACGTTCAAGACTGTAGAAGGCCTTGAGAATCGGTTTGGATAGATCCTGCGGAAGAGGCTTTGTTTCACGACCACGATAGGCCGCTAGTTGTCATTTCGTAACGGTATTGCAGCGTGCATGAAAGTCTGGTTTATTCCATAATAGGGGCAAAAAGCTATTTAACAAAGGTTACTGCTTTGGTAAGCAGGCTAATTACTAATTGCCAAGTAATAGGCAATGTATCCGACTAGTAATAGTAACTCTGTCGCGACACTTTGTGGAGAGCCACGTGGGGGTAACACCGATTTCTTGTACTGCGAGTAATGGCGGGACGGGCCGCGATGCGAACCCCTGAACCGCCCGACCGCGACGAACATGAAGATTCGCCACCGCGACTGACAAGACCGAAACGCACTACCCGACCACCGAACAGCTACGCTCGCGAGCAGGAAATCGATATCGAACGGAGAAAGACGCGTTCCCAACAGAAGAAGACACCAACCGAGCAAGAAGAATGTATTTCGGCAACTTCGGGCGACTGTTCGGCCGAGGATGAGAGCCTGAGCGTCGCCGGTATCGTAAAGGAGCTGGTCAAACTCAGGAGAGAGATCAAACAACGAGATGAATCGCACAAAGAAGAGCTTCGGAAGGTCAGAGAGGAGTTTAGTGCCGCCCTTGCAGAAGTTCGGCACGAGCTACAGACACTGACAGACACATACGACACACCGCAACCCCACCTTGAGGCATGCCCTCGAGACAACCATGACGAGATTCTTCGTGAGATCCAGAGTCTACGCGAGGAGATCAGCGTCCCTGCTCCCACGAGTTTCCCGTCCTACGCAGCGATTGCCCGTGCTCCCCCGCTCAGCCACCCAAACAACATACGGACTCCCCCAGCGGTGAACACAAGACCAACTGCTCTCACCGACACGCTGTACTGTACGATAGACACCTCGAACATGATTGAAGAGAACAATGAGAGAATATCCGCAGGTTTGATTAGGACGACAATCGAGACAAACATCCGGGCAATGGAAGAACACTCTCACTGGCGCTGTCGCGCGGTCACGGTGGATCCAAGAAACACTAACCGAATCCGAATCGCCTGCCGCGATGAAGACGAACATCAGCTAGTGAAACAAGTGGCGGAAACAAAGATCGGGGCAGGAGCCCGGGTGCTTCGGGACGAGCTGTACCCGGTCAAGATCGGCAGCGTCAAGAGAGCGGCAGTACTGGATGAGAACTACAATGTTTTAGCAGGAGCGGCGGTAGCCCTCGGCGAAGAGAATGAAACCACGGTCGCTAAGATCTCATGGCTCAGCAGCAAAGAGGCCGCGAAGCCTTATGGATCGATGGTCGTGTACCTAACCAGATCAACTGACGCGCGGAGACTCCTGGCGGATGGATACTTCCACGTCGGAGGAGAATCTGGGACGACTGGCGTCTTTGAGTATCGACCACGACCAATGCAGTGTTATAACTGCCAGGAGATTGGCCACAAGGCTTTCCAGTGCAAGAATGTCCAGAGGTGTGCAAAATGCGCCGTAGAAGGCCATCGCCACAGTAGCTGCGACCAGACAGTTCCGAAGTGCGTTCCATGCGGGGGCCCTCACGAATCGTTCAGCAGAAACTGTCGGAAGCTCTATCCGCCACGCAATGAATAAAACGCTCCGAGTGATGCAACTGAATGTGAGGAAACAGGGTGAGGTGCATGAAAGCCTCATGAACGACCAAGATACCGCAAACGCAGTGGCACTAGCGATCCAGGAGCCCCAGGCGAGGAGGATTCAAGGCCGGCTCTTGACCACCCCGATGGGGCACCACAAGTGGACCAAGATGGTTCCCTCCACGTGGAGGGAAGGGAGATGGGCGATCCGAAGCATGCTGTGGGTCAACAAGGATGTGGAAGCGGAGCAAGTGCGGATTAATTCGCCGGACCTAACGGCGGCCGTCATTCGGCTTCCCGAGCGACGGATTTTTATCGCATCAGTGTATGTAGAGGGAGGGGATGCCTTTGCGTTGATCGACGCATGCGATCACCTCCGAAAAGCAATCGCAAAGGTACGGCGAGGCTCGGGGACGGTGGTAGAGATCATGATCATGGGGGACTTTAACCGCCATGATCAACTGTGGGGAGGAGACGAGGTGTCCTTGGTCAGACAAGGCGAAGCGGATTCGATCATCGATCTCATGAATGAGTTTGGACTCAGCAGCCTGCTTAAACGAGGCACCAAGACATGGCACGGCGGAGGATATTCGGGGGACTGCGAGTCGACAATCGACCTCGTTCTCGCCTCGGAAAACTTGACGGACTCGATGACCAAATGTGCGGTCCACGGAACGGGGCACGGTTCAGATCATGTTACCATTGAGACTGTTTTTGATGCGCCTTGGATAGCTCCAACGCAGACAGACAGACTGCTGCTCAAGAATGCACCGTGGAAAGAGATCAATGCCAGAATCGCGAGCACGCTAACTGCCACTCCGGTGGAAGGTTCCGTGCAGCAGAAGACCGATCGGCTGATGTACGCGGTGTCGGAAGCGGTTCGTGCGTTGACGCCGAAGGCCAAACCATCACCGCACGCAAAGCGGTGGTGGACGGCGGACCTGACACAACTTCGTCAGATATACACACATTGGAGAAACCACGCCCGCTCGGAACGACGAGCAGGACGAAAGGTGCCACAGCTGGAGGACATGGCTGCAAGCGCCGCAAAGCAATACCACGACGCGATTCGGAAACAAAAGAAGAAACACTGGAACGAGTTTCTGGCTGACAACGACAATATCTGGAAAGCTGCCAAGTATCTGAAATCAGGGGAAGACGCAGCCTTCGGAAAGGTGCCGCAGCTCGTCAGAGCAGATGGAACGGTCACCACCGATCATGGGGAGCAGGCGGAAGAACTACTGACTAAATTCTTCCCACCGCTGCCGGACAGCATTGGCGACGAGGGAACTAGACCACAAAGAGCACCGGTGGAGATGCCGACCATTACCATGGAAGAGGTGGAGCGGCAGTTGCTGGCAACGAAGTCATGGAAGGCGCCAGGTGAGGATGGCCTACCGGCCATAGTGTGGAAGATGACCTGGCCCACGGTCAAACACCGGGTCCTCGATCTTTTCCAGGCGTCATTGGAAGAAAGCACGCTGCCGAAACAGTGGCGACACGCCAAGATCATCCCGCTGAGAAAACCGAACAAGGAAGACTACACCATTGCCAAGGCATGGCGGCCGATCTCACTGCTCGCCACATTAGGCAAGATCCTGGAATCGGTGGTGGCAGAGAGGATCTCCCACGCGGTAGAGACCCACGGCCTGCTCCCGACCAGCCACTTCGGAGCCCGAAAGCAGCGGTCCGCGGAGCAAGCACTCCTAATCCTACAGGAGCAAATCTACGCAGCGTGGCGAGGAAGACGGGTGCTGAGCCTGATCAGCTTCGATGTCAAGGGGGCCTACAAGGGGGTCTGTAAGGAACGATTGATCCAGAGGATGAAGGCGCGAGGTATACCGGAAGTTCTGCTTCGGTGGGTTGAGGCGTTCTGCTCGGGACGAACGGCGACCATCCAGATCAATGGGCAAATATCTGAGATCCAGAACCTACCACAAGCTGGACTACCTCAGGGCTCGCCCCTGTCTCCGATTCTATTCCTCTTCTTTAACGCCGACCTCGTGCAGAGACCGATCGACGGCCAAGGAGGAGCAATTGCCTTCGTGGATGACTTTACCGCGTGGGTAACAGGGCCAACCGTACAGAATAATCGGGAAGGTATTGCAACAATCATCAATGACGCGCTCGATTGGGAAAAGAGGAGCGGCGCAACCTTTGAAGCAGACAAAACAGCCATTATACATTTCGCACCCAAGGCTCGCAAAGTCGACCAAGAACCGTTCACTGTCAAGGGACAGACGGTTGAGCCTAAAAACAAGGTCAAAATCCTGGGGGTCCTGATGGACACGCGACTGAAGTACAGAGAGCATATCGCAAGGGCAGCATCTAAGGGCCTGGGGGCCGCGATGGAGCTTCGACGGCTCCGAGGCCTCTCCCCAGCCACAGCACGGCAGCTCTTCACAGCGACCGTGGCTCCGGTAGTGGACTACGCTTCTAATGTCTGGATGCACGCATTCAAGAACAAGAACATCGGACCGATCAACCGAGTGCAAAGGGTAGGTGCACAAGCAATTGTGGGGACATTCCTCACAGTTGCGACCAGCATAGCGGAGAGCCGAGGCCCACATTGCCACGGCACGACACCGATTCTGGAGACGAGCCGTGAAGATGTGGGCAGACATCCACACACTACCAGAGACCAATCCTCTTCGCAGAAACACAGATCGGATCCGGAAGTTCAGGAGATACCACCGCTCACCACTATATCGAGTAGCGGACGCGCTGAAAAACATCGACATAGAATCACTGGAAACCATCAACCCGTTTACACTGGCACCATGGGAAGCACGCGTGCAGACTGATGAGCCCATCTCAGAGGGGTCAACTGTACCAGGCGGATCAATGCAGATCGCGTTCAGCAGCTCGGCGCGGAATGAGCTGGTTGGGTTTGGTGTGGCGATCGAGAAACAACCACCACGCTATCGGAAAGTGAGACTGAAGACTTTGTCCGTCACGTTGAGTGTGAGAACAGAGCAAAATCCATTTTCCGCGGAGCTGGCGGCAATGGCGCATAGACTCAAGACACTCGTGGGATTGAAAGACTTTAGGATCACGTTGATCACGAGCAACAAAGGGGCAGCTCTCACGCTGAAGAATCCGCGACAACAGTCGGGCCAGGAATTTGTCTGTCAAATCTACAAGCTGATGAGAAGACTGCAGAAGCATGGAAATCAGATCAGCGTCCGGTGGATCCCCACTAGCGAAGATAACAAACTACTAGGGCTGGCGAAAGAGCAGGCGAGAGCCGCGACGAAAGAAGATACCATCCTGCAAGGACAGGTCCCCAAAATGAAATCGACGACTCTGAAGATCGCGCGTACCCAAGCAATCCCCAGCAGTAAGCTACCCGAGAGCATCGGGAAACATTCGAGACGAGTGGATAAAGCCCTCCCAGGAAAACACACGCGACTGCTGTATGACCGATTATCGTGGAAAGAAGCAAGCGTGCTGGCCCAGCTCCGCACGGGGATGGCAAGACTCACTGGATATCTCTTTCGAATCAATGCCGCCGAGACAGATCAATGTGCATGTGGACAAGCAAGAGAGACGGTGGACCACTTTCTCCTTCGATGTCGGAAGTGGACCGCGCACCGGACGGAAATGCTGCAATGTACCCATACTCACCGAAGTAACATGTCCTTCTTCTTGGGAGGGAAGTCACCCTCCGATGATCAAAAGTGGAAGCCGAATTTGGAAGCAGTGCGAGCCAAAATACGTTTGCAATCGCCACGGGCAGACTCGACGCCGCTTAACCGTGTCGACCAACCAAGATTAATCTTACCCCACCAACTATCTTGTGCTAGAGACGGTAGACGTGCTTCAATTGCCGAGAATAGGATGTTGAACACTTGGAGAAACGCCTTCAAGCATGACTACTAACTAAACACTGACTCACAAGGTCCCGCTAAGATATTAACATCTGAGATGACATACACTATAAGGAATTTTGTATGGGCTCCAAGGAGGCACAGCATTAGCTCAGGCATGTACATTTAGATCTGTGATAGTTGCCCTTTCGGCTCAGCTGTCGGGCGTTAATGAATTGTGTGTGTGTTGATAAACTGAAGCTCCGGGCAATTCTTTTGTTCTATTACAATTTACTTTGCTTTATTCTCTAAATTGTGTCCACCGAATAAACCAGCTAAAGGGAACTCGTGGAGGCGTAGCCAGTGGGACAGGTTTTCCGTCAATACCATCCAACCATTAAATTTCATGAAATTGAAGTGCAGAAAGGGTGCTCATAAGTAGAGCAAAGGGCCGATAACCTCTCTATAAGAACGGGGCGGAAATCTTGAGTAATACTCCATGCATTCACCCAGGAAACAGATACGGAGGAAGAGGTGGAAGCCCACTCCCAGAAACAACTATAGGATCGCCGCATAATCTATGCACCACCACATGGGTGCCAAAGTGTTCCTTGACGAAGTGACAAACGAGGTGTAACCGAAAGGGCAGTGCAAGACCCCCAATTAATTGGAACTATAGAATCAGAGGGAACTAGGTATATCTGACAGATAGGATAGGGGATACAAGTAAATCCAGGGGAAATGGATCATAATGAGCAACAGATGCTATGACGTCTGCACTGCATAGTATTCGACATGGAAGCTGCATATGCAGCCCAGTTTGTAATGTGGTACGTTGCACCTCAACATTGTTATAGATTATTAGATGGAAGCTTTCCCGTAAATGAACAAGCAACTTGTGCCTAACTATGTAGGTACATATAAGGCCTTCAAGGGTCGTATTGCTCGTGTGGTATCAGATTGAGGCGAATTATTTCATGTAGCAAGGTGTATCGTCTCTTCTCGATCCTTCTCGGTCCACCGTTTCAGCAGACCATCCCGTATCTTGTTTGCGACCACAAACCCTTTGCAGAAGACCAGGCTGAGCAGATTCAGAATTTCGGATTGTTGATCGACCGTCCGGGCTCGAGCTCCTGCAACAGTTACTGGGAAAAATAGCATCACTCCTGGGATCTTGGAGTGGTGCAACACCTCTCCCGAGAGATACAGGATCGAACTCAGGTGTTCAGAAACTTCAGCAGGGGATAACACCGGGGCTGGGATATTATCCCAGTAGGTGAAATAGTCATAGTTGCCAGAAAGAAAGATTAGTAGCGCGTGATAATATAGCATAGCTAATTTTGAATATTCATTAGGACCATCCTGGACCAGCTGCAGCAACGCCTTCGTGTGCCAGTTATAGATATTTCCTTGTACATCGAGTCCCTCAGCCGCAATCAGAGCAACTGATGGATCCGTGAAACGTTCTTCCTCAGGAATCTTATCAATTATAGCACCGGCTCTGTCGTTCGAATTGTTAAAATAGAAGAAGTTGCTCATTTGTTATTGCTGACTTACCGTAGGGTGAAGGCGGATGCCTGAATCATGAGCGTTATAATCTCTTCCAAGGGCTCCCAGCGAGTGGCATTTCTCGACAAGCTGTTTTGGAGTCGAAGCCAGCATTCCTGAGAAAGGATTGTTTCTTCATCGAAGAGTAATGCTCGACTGGCTTCGAGAATACGAAACAGGTCGTAGAATATCCTTCTGGCCGTTGACATGCAATCACTTGGTCCTGCAAGCTGGAGCATTTTTGATGTTCCATAGAGCATGTGCTTAACCCAGCCCTGGCCCGAATCGTCTGAAAGCAACTAGGTGTATCAATGTCAGTCAAACCTGATTTAATGCATCCGATAGAGGATACCCTTTCTGATAAAAAGCATACCTCAAACAGCCCTAGGAAAAAGGTGGCCCAGAGGACGTCCTCTCTTTGCATCACATTACTTTTTCCCACACAGAACCGCAAAATACTAATTGACTTATGGTAAGAGGTCATGGCATCCACATAGGGGGGGTTTCTCTCCCTGTAATGCTCGTCCACCGGTATGTCGGTTCGCATCTAGAGCACCAACCGCAATCACTGCATGGTAGAGGAGCGGGGAAGTCGAAATTAGAGGAAGCAAGTCCGGAACTATTGATGAGAAGCCCATCGTGAACATGTTCTGCTGAATAAAAGAAACAAAATAATCAAGAAGGCGAGTACGCTTATCCTTCCCGATAAAATCGAGTGGGTGAATCCCTGACATATGTTCATTTTTAACAGTCATGCGCTTCTGATCAGAACTTCGGTGGGCGCCACCAAAATGATCTTGCTGGGTTTGGTTGACAAACACAGTCATACCGTGGCCCGATTGCTGCTGGGCAATGCACATCGTGTTTTGTCGAACGCAACGAGCACATGGAAATCCCCCTTCACACTACTAAATATTAGCTGCTCGGATCCCATATAATTTAAGCTTCACAATCCAGACCTTGATGCGTCGTTTCGCACAGCTGAGGCAGCGCGTCATCCGCCTTCGCTTGTCCAGCGGGCCGACCATTCTCCCCTGCAGCGTTGCAGATGTGGACATGACCTTGGAGAATTCTCTAACATACACTTGAAGCGTGCGTATTCCCGATGGCCGCTACGATGAAAATGGACATATTCGAGCGAGACCTGGTCCGGCAGCAGCCTGCGGCGTGGCTGATGGCCCTAGCCCGATCAAGAATCAATGTCGCCACACCGATGGCGCTAACCCAATTGGGAACTAATGTCGCGAGACAAGGATCGACATTACTTGAACATTACTTGTTTGTCCCCCGATGACCGCTACCATGAAAATGGATATATTCCAGCGAGCCCTACTCCAGCATCAGGCTGCAATTTGGGAGATGGCGCCAACCCCAATTAGAAAGTAATATCGCGACGCACCGAAGCACATGACTTCAACAATTCTGGATAGTTCTTGGTGACTGACTTGGAGCTGATCAACTAACGCTCTATCCCTTCCATTTTGGGAACCTCATTTACGTTGGCAGAGGGAAATCTGTATTCGTGAGTTGCTACGGGCATTTTGCTGATGTATAAAGGTCAGGGCGGTCCTCTGGCTATTGTGGTTGGAATCTCATTATCTACATCAGCAAGATTTCAAAGACTTTACTCTTACCCTGCTTTTCTCCTGGACTGTGTCTTTTGGTGATTGAGAATGCTTCAAATTCTTCGTCTTCTGCCTATTGTGGCCATGTCTGTCTCTGCAGTGGTGATACCCAACCCACTCGGACAATACGATGTGTTTTACCACACGGCCAAAATGGTCGAAAAGGCCAGAGCCGATCCCTTTGATCCCAAGCACGGTCCGCGTGCAGTTATGACTTCAATATTTGCTCCCACCCACTGCAAAGTCGCTCTCAAGAAGAAAGATTACCTGCCCCAGGCAACAGCCGAATACTACTCCGAACTATACGGCGCATACGGACTTCCCAACGGTTCGCTTCAATCCATCTCTTTCCAGGCATGCCCAGAGCCGCCACGAGGCGATCACCTCCATTTTCCGGTGGTGATATTCTCGCCTGCTCTCGGCACGACACGCCTGTTCTACAATGCCATTGCGCAGGCTGTGGCCAGCGCCGGGTACATCGTGGTGTCTCTTGACCATCCCTATGATACCGAATTTCTGGAATTCCCAGACGGAAGCATCGTGACTGCAGCAAACATCAGTGACGCGCAGGTTCCACTAGATGTCGAAACCAGAGCTCAGGATGTGAGGTTCGTGCTGGATCAGCTGGGCACAAAGGCTGGCGTCGCAGCCCTACTCCCTGGAACAGGGGCTGCGGGATTGAGAACTCGGCACGTTGCGATGTACGGTCACTCAGTCGGGGGTGCAGCTACCGCCGCAGCCATGCATCTGGACCGTCGGATTGTTGCAGGTGCAAACCTGGACGGGTCAATCTTTGGACCGGTGGTTCAAAAAGGCCTTCAGGGTCCATTCCTCCTATTCGGACATGAAAACAAGACCCAGAGGACAGACTCAACGTGGAAAGAGTTTTGGTCAAATCTGCAGGGGTGGAAATTAGAGCTGGAAGTCGCCAAGATTCAACACTACGCATTCTCCGACTTGCCGTTCCTATTGAAGCTCCTGCGTCTGCCTGTTGAGAAGATACCGGCCATTCAATTGATGGTTGGAACTTTAGATGGAGCCAAGGGATTTGAAATTGTTCACCGAAACGTCGCTGCCTTCTTAGGCTTTGGGCTTGGCCAAACCTCGCAGTGTCCGCTTCAAGAGACAATCTCGGAGTATTCGGAGATTTCGGTCTTTGCGCCCAGTAAATGAGAAAATACTTGGGAGAACAGATTGGATATATGACCAATTAGTGCCGTGAGTGGCCCACATGCACACAGGCATTCGGTTGAATGATTGGTTAATATCTAATCTGAGGGTCTCACGTATCTGTTGATGAGTAGCGTGTCTTTCGGATGAATAATCAATATTAAAGAAGCTATAGTCGACTCTAGATACAAGACGTAGCGCGAGGAAGCAAGAGAAAGATAACTAGCTTCCTCGTGTTCAGGGGAACCCAGATGCGCCAAGTGGGTCCGTGTCCTCCGCTTAGCGTGTATGCCTCATGTATATCCCTGACAAGTACCCGCCTTCCAGTGTCCTCTTAGTTCCTAGGAGATCGATGTGGGTATTGCACAATGCAAAGAGGTGGCCGATGGCAGAAAGAATGGTTTTACGGAAACATAATCGACATGATAATTCAGTGGGAAAATCAGTTGATCACATTCCCCTTCGTGTATCTCCAAGGGTTCCCAATCAAAGTCTATTGCGTAATGTGCGATGAAGAGTTACATGTACAGTACATCCTAGGAATCTGGTTAGATGACAATATTAAATAGTCAATCCCGACTGACTTATACTGTAGACCCCAATGACGACGACTCCCGATAAAGAAGTATGTGTGCCAAATATGCAAGGAGCTAGTTGTACATAATATTTATGAGGCGTTTTTTGAGTGAAAGAAAGCACTCGTCATCGGTGGGTGAAATGAAATGGCATGATCTGTTGCCGCCCTGCCCGTCGCAATAAGGTACGGCTTCATGATGGTGAATGATGAAACGCGTTATCGATACTTTTCTGCGGCGTCCCCACGACTATTTTAACGGTTCCAACAGTGAGAAAGGGTTTTTATAAACTGTATCACCAAAAAATAAATTGCAATGCCTCCGAACGCAGCGTTAAATCAATGATGTAATGTTGAACCAGCTGCAATTGAAGGTTCGTCAGTGTTTGTGCCCTCACAATTCACAGCGATCATTGCGTCGACGCAAGCAGAATGACGGGCTACAATGCTATAAATACCCGATCCCTCACCAGAAAACAGTGGTTCTCAATCATTCCTTTATCATTCTGATTCAAAGAATTTCGAACACCTTTCATCTCTGCCGGCTATTCTTTGGTATGAACTGACCTTGAAGTCTTGCACTTGTAATTAATTAAACTGACCTCTGGTACTATACTGGTTGTCTTCTCGATACTGACGTCTTCGAACAGCAAGTGAGTGTAGCTGTCCCGTCATTGGAAATCATGCTGACATGGAAAATGCTCAACATCAGTCCTCCTCTACTATCCCTCTAGGAAACCATTTGACGCACTTTGGATGATCTCGAAAATGATCGAAACTGCGAGCACGGTGAGTTATGAAGTGCCTTCATAAGCTGCCAACTGATGATTAATGATAGATCGAAGTCATCCCTTACGCAGTCGCTTCGATCATGCCAGAATGCAGCGAACACCAATAGCTAACTACCTAAGTTATTATCAGCAGCAATTTGGAGAGTATTCATCCTGTGCTAACGACTCCCTGTGTAAGAAGGCAAACGTTCGATCACGAGCCGCTCGATCTCCTCTAAGTCACCATGGTGCGTTACCTCTGCCACTTCCATGGCCGGGGCTGCATTTTGGATCTCAGTGTAGATGTTATTTACTTGAGATTTTATCCTGTCGTGCTCTCTGTCCATCAGAAAAGATCGCTGGTGCTTCTTTCTAGTCATAGGACAAGTTTCATGGTGGCACTCGCCAGACCGAGCCGTACTTCCCCATTGTCCTCAAAGCTAAGGATAAACGTCGGGCCGGATCAATATATCCCAGTGCGTTTCTATTTCGCTGTTCCAAGACACCTGCTTGAAACGTCCATTTCGCTCACGTTGACGGAACAAATCTAGGAAGGTTCACTGCGCTTCGATTAGCCATATGGTAGGCTTCCAACATGTTTTCATCTCTCCCAGGTTCACGCTGTCCGACCAAAGATTGACTGTCATTATATTAGCTTCCGTATCCCGACGGCCATGCACCTCTAGTCCCGTATCCGATTCGAAGCCTCGACGACGGCATCATCCGGTCCCATGCTAGGCCGAGAGAGCTATCGCAGCATCCAGCGACAACAAAGAGAAGAGTGGCATCGACGAACACCGAGAAAGACCACAGTTTGCCCCGGAATAATATATATCAATCAACAATGAATCGAGCTTTTGGCGACAGGCTGAGAGCCAGCGCTGTCAAGCCTTGGTTGTAGATGAGCAAGCGACAAGCCTGGCTGCAGCATTGGTCTACCAGGTCTCTCTTACCGCGAGAGCAGTCGCTTCAGGTCAGTTCCTAGTTTAATCTATACCAGATATCATAACCTCTCCTCCAGTAATACTTTATCCTGACATTGTTGAAGATATGCCTGTCGCACGAACAGCAAAGACGAAACTGCTATGCATTAAAGGATAAGGCCCATGTCTATTCCCCGCATTACTAAGTGATCCCAGGCCCTAGTGCACATGTGCTCAAGCTGATGCCTGCTACTTCGTCTCTTTTTTGGCTGTGCTGATGACGGACTACATTGCGGCAAGTCTTCATCACTCTCAGTTACCAGGAATCTTGCTGACATGAAGGGGCAGTGAAAAGCAGCCGTTGCTCAGTCGTTCCCTCGAGTTCGATCGAGAATACTGTATTGTGACTGGCATTTGGATTCTTATCTAGGCAGCGAACAAGGTAAGTTGCAAATACTCATCTTGCGCCAGCTGCTGATTGTCGTAGTTCAGAAGTATGAATTATGTTGTTTATTCTTGAGGTGATGCACGAGGCTATATATACAACAAGAAGACCAAGTTGATTGTAAATCACCTTGATTCTTTATATAGGCAACCTGGGAGTATTTCCGATGTTGCGGCTTTGTTCCTGACCCTGCGCAAGCCTCATATCACAACATCTATCATTAAAGGTTTAGTTCTTGTGGAATAACAGAGTAAATGTTTTTGTTACGGGATACCAAGTTGGCAACAGCCCTTGGCTTTTCGATCAAAGGAAGTATTAAGCGCCATACGTCCCGCGTTTGTTGTTACGTTGGGTGATGTTTGTTGTGAAACGGGTGATGGGATCCTGATCGCGGCCGATCTTAGTCAGCATATGCATCAGCGGGTTTTGGCGAATTATGATATCATCTAGGATCGATTGGTATTCCTACGCCAACATACCCTTCCGCCAAATCTCAACTGCTTCTACAATTCGCTAGATGCCCTAAGATTTCTATAAAATTTTCACCAGAATAGTATTTGATTCATCAGCTGAAATTCAGTCGGTAAGCTGATAAACGGATATTCCATCAACATCGGGGTTGTG